TCTGAAAGGCTCGGCTCAGAGGCCAGGAATGATGAGGACTAAGGAGACATGAACCGGTAGAGATATGCTCTGCTGACTCAGGAACGAACTGGGCTGAGAGAAACCAACTTAGAATACAGTCCTGGCGCTAAAATAGGAACAGAAAAGACTCGGTGTGGAGGCTCGACCCCGCGCCATTGGAAACCGCGATTTGGGTTTCCCGCCGCCCGGCAGCTGGCTGCCTCCACAGCGGCTCGGCAAGGAGAGACGCGTAGAAGCTCTGGGAACGGGAGTCTGCGAACGGAGTCGAAAACAGGACGGACAAGGAGGCGTACACAAAAACTGACTGGTGGCGAGGTGAGTGAGAGAAACTGACCCCCTACCACAGTTTGACTCCAGCGGAGGACTTTCTGGGCTCAGGCAGTCCTGTAAGAGCAGGGCGCGGTGGCGACTCCAGCCACACATTCCCCTCTCGGACGGGATCGGTGAAAAGTGCCTGGCCTGCGTGACGCTGCGGGCGGACTCGGTAGGCTGGCCTAACCCAGATCCCAGAGCCTGACGGTGGCCCGGAGGAGCCACTGACTCCCGCGTAGGCTGCCTCCTCCGCAACTCCCTGGTGCGCAGTGGTGGGCGGGAACACCTAGCCAGCGCAATTTGATCAGGCTGTGGCTGACAGGCAGGGAAGCCGGGCCTCCTATGTAAGCTTGCATTTTATAAGGAACAGAAAATATGGGGAAGGGAAGCAACAAGAAAGGCTCCTTGGCCCCCAATTCTGAGAAACAGGCAATAGAGGACACCACACCAATATACATTAAGCGCCATATAGAGAGCCTCATAGACCAATTCAGGAATGAAGTTATCAACGACCTGAAGCTAGAAGTATGCAGAATAGTTAGAGAAATGCTAAGCACCACCCAGGAAAAAACAGATGGTGGAATGGAAGAACAGAAAAAGAGGGGAGAATTGCTTGATGGAGAAAACAGAGAAAGCATTGAGTATGTGAAGCAGGTTCAAAGGGACTATCAAGAAATTAAGAAGTCTATCCAAGACTGGCATAACAGCTTGAAAGAAACTAAGGACAGACTATCTGAACTGGAGGGCAGACTTGTAATATGGGAGAATGAAATGAAAAACTTCTTAAAAATAACAAAGAAACAAACAGCAATAATACAAAGACAAGAAGATGATAAGAGGAGCCATAACTTAAGGATTAAGAACATAAAAGAAGAAGTAGGGACACAAACAAGTGAACTACAAAAGCTACTCACAGAAATAATCCAGGAGAATTTTCCTAATTTAGCAAAAGGTAAAGATACTCAGATGTATGAGGCATACAGGACCCCAGCTACCTACAACCCAAACAGAGAAACACCCAGGCATATAATAATAAAAATTCCAGAAATTCAATACAAGAACAGAATATTAAAAGCTGTAAGAGACAAGAAACAGACCACTTACAAGGGAACACCCATCAGAATTACAGCAGATTTCTCTGCACAAACCATCAAATCACGAAGAGCATGGGGGGAAATAATTCAAGCTTTGAAAGATAATAATCTCCAGCCAAGATTGAGATATCCTGCACAACTGTCCCTGGAAATTGATACAAAAACGAGGTGCTTCCAGGATAAAGAGGAACTGGGGGAATTTGCAACCATCAATTCAACCCTACAGAAAGTATTGCAGGATATTCTAAAAAAAGAAAAATACAAAGAACCCAGAAATAGTGGCGGGGAGGCCACAACGAATGGAGCAGAGAACAAAATGAAGAAGACAAACTGACAGCTACTGACAGAAAAAGAGCTCAACAGAAATGAGACAGAGAAGATTGGATGATAGGAACAGCTATTTTGGAGAAAATGACATCTTAATAGGTAATACTGATTTAGTACCATCTTGTTTTGAAGTCTCATCTAGCTTTTGTTCTTCTGTCTCCAATGGTCTAAACAGGTTGTATCTTATTGGATTTTATTATGTACGATAGTATAAGCAAAAACCTTTTAAAGACAAGGAGAATATACAGAAACCATTGTTCATTTTCTGTTAGTCGATTCTAAATACTCTATAATGCTGTCATTCTCTTAAATGGTTTTACATTGTTTTGATATACTTAATGCTACAGTATACAAAGTTGTACTCAAGGACTTCAAGGAAAGAGTCTATATGGTAACTACTTTTGGGTCGGAATTATCTGGTGGTGAAACACTATTCTGCTTAAATGGTTATGTTTTGATCTGCCCTGTTTCACTGTTATGCCCTCTTTTTTCTCAATCTCCACTTCATTATTTACTTTTTTATTTTTATCCGTTTAATTAAAGGGGAAAAAATAGCAGGATATAATATAGTAACCCACTTTGACTTTCTATTATCTCGATTTGAAGGCCTGTATTACTCTCACCATCTTGTTTTTGACTGAGGTTCCTCTATTCTGTTTTGCTGGATAGTATCAGGTTCGAAAGTTTAGGCATCAGCTGAGAAGATAATGAGATTCATTATAACGCCCATTCTCGTTGACTTTTATCTACTTTTGAAGACCTACAATGTCTCCAATGTTTTGGTTTTGTCGGTTTTGTTCTTTACTGTTTTGTTCAATTGTATTACAATTAATGATATAGGCAATTCTATTAGAGATAGCAGGAGGCATTATGGTAACCATTGTTGATCATCTTGTATTATGTTTTTATATTATCTATTATGTCCACCCTTTTGACTTGACCAATTCTGTTCTGTTATGTCACATTTGGTTTTACTGTCTTCCAAAAAAGCAATAAGAACCGTGGGAGCAATGAAACCCAAAATGTGTAATAGTCATTGTACAAAAGAGAGGAAAAGAAAGTGCTGTAAACTATATAACTGCATGTATATTTAAGTGTATAAGATAGAAAATGATATCACAGAGTTTTATTGGATCATTGAACAGAACTGTTTGCAGTATCATTGTTGGAATGTCCACTCTACAAGCTTTAATTTTGTGACTTGAACACTTATTTCTAAGATGGCAATATGTAATCCATTAACTAGTGATTTCCTACTGCGCATTTTTTTCTTCTGTAAATCTGTATAACTTGTACCCCTTCACTGTTTTTTTTTCTTTTCTCCTTAAATAAAAAAAAAAAAAGATGAAAACCACAGGAATGTTGCGAACTTTGACACAGTTTGATAGCATCTGGGCTTCTTGGTATCTTCTGTAACTTCCTCATAGTTAAACGTTTTTTAAGAAACAGCACATTTTATTACAGACAGGGTGAAGGGGGTGGGGGGATTACAAGAAAATGAAACTTAAAGCTTAGGGGAGGGGGATTTACAAGGAGCTGAAACTTAATGGAATTTTAATCTCTATTGAAATGGCACATACAGAACAGGAAGGAGGTGGATTGGTTAGAACTAGGTTACAACAGTGCCCAAGGTCAGCAAGGGAGGAGAAGAAAGTGCACGGCCTACCGCAGGCCGAGGCAAAGGCCACAAAAGCCACCCTGACCCTTTGACCTCCACTGACGCTGAATCTGTTCTTTGGTGTCCCTGACTTTGGCTATGTGGTTAGTTTAACTCTCTGCCCCCACCTTGAATTAAGCTTTGATGAAAAAGCAGTAGGAACTCAGGCCTGTCCCTGGAGATTTGGGGTTTTTGTCTTGGAAAAGCATGAACCAGACAAGCAGGGCAGGAGATCTGGATTCCTGTGGCTTGGGCTAACTTTGGCCTAAGATACCAAGTGCTTGTGATCATCATCATCTCCCTCCCCAATTGTGGCCATGCCCCATGCGTTGCCTTCCCTCGCTTCTCCTCCCCGTGAGGAGGCTCCAGGGCCACAGCTCCTGTGCCACCATCAGCTGCCCTTGCAAATTTGAAAGGATGTGTGGGAATGCTTGCAGCCAGCTGACCCAAAATCTTCTGGCTTTAGTACAAGCAATAAAAAACAACTCTTAAGCACTAGCGTATTTCCTATCCCTTGGGATCCTAGTAAACCTCTCTGAGATTTGCCTCTTCGGCAAATCTGGACCACAGAGCCTCCTGGCTGCTCTCTCCCAAGCAGAGCCTCTGTCTGTCAGGAGTCACTTGGTGGCCTGGACTGTGTATCTTGGACCCCTGTCCTGGCTTCCAGTAATAGGGTGGCCAGATCTCTGTGCGGGCATCCAGAGGAGCCAGCCACTGTGGTGCTGGGTGACAGTGATGCGGCCTGTGGTCAGTATGCTATGCTCTGCTTCTCCATGCATGCAAGCCTGTTTGCCTTGTTCAGCCTCCAGACATCCTGTGGACTGGCCCCACTATGCCAGGAGTTCTGCACATTTGTCCAGCTCTCCAATGACTCATTCCTCCAGATGTTTCTACCCTAGGGAAAGCAAGCGGAGAAGCCCATGAAGGCACCTCTCTGGTGTCCTGTTTTACCTGGGTGTTTCTCAGCCCTTTGATCAAAACATCATAACTGGGTGCCTCCACCCAGAAAAGGTTTTGCAGAAATATCAATATTAAAATCTCACCCCTAGAAATTAGTGTCCCCACACCCCTAACGCTGATTCACTTTGAAAGAGCAGCTCAGCTGGGCATGATGGTGCAGTTCTAATCCTAGCACTCAGAATGCCAAAGCAGGAGGATCACAAGTATAAGCTCTTAGGCTAGGCAACGTAGTGTCTTAGCAAGAGCCTGTCTCAAAATAAAATAAATATCAGGAAGCTGAAGCAGGAGGATTGTTGCAAGTTTGAGACCAGCCTGGGCCACAAAGTGAGCTCAAGGCCAGCTTGAACTGCATAGCAAGATCCTGTCTCAAATAGACAAATAAATGAATAAATAAGTGAGCAGCTTTCCCCAGACTGAGTCTGAAGACATGAAATGAGGGCCTGGGGCTTTAGCTCAGCGGCATAACACCTGCCTTGTAAGCAGGCAGTCGTGAGTTCGATCCCTGGTACCGATAAAAACGAAAAAGACAAAAAAATATGTAAAAAAAAAAAAAAAGACATGAAATGACTAGAGACGAGAACAGTGATAGGAAGCAGAACCTAACATGCTTCTCTCTGTCTTCGCCGCAGACCTGCTGACCATGAGAGAGTACCACTGCCTGCTGCAGCTGCTGTGCCCCGACTTCCCACTGGAGCTCACCCAGAAAGCAGCCAGGTACAGCTCCCAATTCCTAGGCCAGCCCAGCCCTCGGCCTTCTGCAAGCCAAGCTCACTAGGGGAGAAACTGGCATTGGAGAGTGTCTTTTGGGGTCTTTGACATGAGGGTGTTTCATAAAGAAGCCAAGCAAACCTTCACAGTCTCTGTAGGAGCCTTGAAGACTAAAGACAGGGATGGAGGGTGGTGAGCTGAGGGGGTCCAATGTACACACCTACATGCACAACCTGGGCACACACAAGGATACCCTGTGAAAAGGACAGGAGTAGGCAGTGACTCATGTTGATGAAGGCCAAGGTCAGGGGCTGGAAAACTGGGAGGGCAAAGAGTATCATGTGTGCTAGGGGGAGGCTCTCAGGGTGAGGATCCAGCAGGTACAATTAAGAGCCCCTCATTTTTATGTTTGGTTCACTGTTATTCTCATTTTTTAACCAAATAAAGTAACTTTTTTGGGAGGGAGGAGATACTAGGGGTTGAACCCAGGGAGCTCTAAACTACATCCCCAGCCCTTTTTTTTTTTTTTTTTTGGTATAGTTTTGTTTTTAACAATAGGATCTCACTAAATTGCTCAGACTGGCCTCAAACTCTGTATTCTCCCACCTCAGCCTCCTGATTAGCTACGATTATAGGCCTGCACCATCACACCTGGAAAATTATTTGACAGAAAACCTGAGCTTGGGTTGCAAATGCAAATACTGAGAGAAAAAAAATGTTCTTTTCTGAAAAAAAACATGTTAAAAAAGGAGAGGCTCATTTGGCTCACAATTTGGGGGAGGTCAGTGCATGGTCAGCCAGCTCCAAGGCAGGAGCATCATGGCAGAAGGGCCTGGCAGAGCAGAGCTGCTCAGTCCATGGCAGCAGGGAAGCAGGGCAGGGGACAGCATCAGAGAAGAGAAGTTTAGGGCCCAACCTAGAGCCCAAGGCCACACTGCATGACCCACCCAAACACACCCAGCAGTTTACCTCACCAGTCCTGGGTGGAGCCCAAACCAATCCAGTTGATACCCTACCCTACCGGCCACACCGAGCTCCTCTAAGTCACACTGAAATCATTTACTATACCTTTACAGTTCCATGTAAATGCACTGCCCTCAACTATCTGGCCTAATCCTTATCTGAAAGCTACTTCTCACTTTACTGAGGCTCTGAGAGGTTAAGCATGTGATGCAGCTTCTTGAGTGTTGCAAGCCAGAGAGCACTTCTGTCTTTGCAGGCTCCTACCCTGCATCCTGGCACGCATGCTTGGCATGCATGGCCCTCTAAAACCCGAGGTGCATCAGCTGCACCCTCTGAGAATGCCCTAGCGTCCCTCAAGGTGCCACTGCCCCCTGCCAACTTAGAAGGAGAGAAGTTTACCACTCCCCAGGACTACAGCAGCCGCTCACCGGGCAGGATACCAGTGCTTCACAGTGTAAAACCTGTTCAGTGATCACACACCCAGCATTCTGTAGGCCTTTTCCCCTCACTGCTCAGGACTTTCCCCTTCCTTGTTTCCCAGTGAATGCTGGTCACCTTTCAGCCATAGTTCAGTTTTGATCAGTTTGATTTTTCTGCAATCCAAAGATTTAGATTTAATTTTTACTTTATTTTATTTTTTCACTTGTTTTGTGTGGTACTAGGGACCACATTCATGACCTCATGCTCACCGGATAAGTGCTTAAACCACTGAGCTAACTCCCTGGCCCTAGACTTTTTTTTTTTTTTTTTAGCTTGAAAAATAAAAAAAGCATGAGAGATTATTTCTTGTCATTTAAAAAAGCCAAATGGAATAAGCATCAAATTGTTTCTCTTCAGGCTCAGAGCATTTTAAGAAAAATTCAAGTCAAACGTGGTGGTACATTTTGTAATCTCAGTACTCTAGGAGGCTGAGGCAGGAGGATCACAGGCCAGCTTAAGCAATTTAGCAATTTAGCAAGACTCTGACTGAAAATAAAAAATAAAAAGGGCTCCGTGAGTAGGCCGTGGTCCACCCCCAGGACCAAACAAAGAGAGAGAGAAAAAAGAGACAGAAAGCTATTGATTCAGTCCTGGTGAGAAATTTAGCATTCTTAAAGACTGGCTTTAGCTAGGAGTGGTGGTGCACACCTGTAATCCCAGCACTCGGGAGGCTGAAGCAGGATGATGGGTGGGAGTTTGAAGCCAGCCTGGACTACACAGGGAACCCCTGTCTACAAGAACGAAAACCCTGGACTTAGTGAATATAATGTGACTGGGCAATTCCTAAACAGACGCAAGGAGCCCTGTGAGCGCCTGTGCTCCAGGTGAACAGGCCCGAGCCGCCCCAGGCTTGTGGCTGCTTAGTCATGTCACTTAGCATAGTACTGAGGGGGGAGCTGGGTCCCCCTTACCCATGGTGGGGTGAATGAACGGAGGAGTGAATGCACACATGGGTGAACATGTGAATGAACGTTCCTGGGCTGGTGTTTTACACAGCCCTAATCATCCTCGGCTCCCAGCAACTGTAGCAACCAGATCTCACTACTGTATTTCTGTTCAGATTTCATTCGTGTATTCACCAAATATTTATTTTTAACAGTTTTGGAGGAATATCATTTGCCTATCTTATGCTTCACTCACAGTCTAAAATTCAGTGGCTTTTAGTATATTTCCAAAGTTGTGGATCTGTTACCACAACCAATTTTAGGACATTTTCATTACTTTGAAAAGAAACACTGCAGCCTCAGCCCTTCCGCTCTAATCCCCGTCCACAGACCAGGTGGCCACTGTTTTCTGCCTCTCAGTTTGCTTGTTCTGGACATTTTAGGTCAATGGTATTGTGTAAAAATGTGGTCCTTGACAGCTGCTTCTTTCACTTAGCATGAAGTTTGCATGTTCACCCTTGCGGCAGCATGAATCATCATTTCTCCAAATATTTCTTGAGTGTCGATTTCGTGGGAAGGATTATTCTGCCCGCTGGAGACCCAGTCAGGAATAAGAGAGTTCCCGTCCCTCCGGGGACAGCATTTAATTGAAAAGGGGCTCACTCAGTACCCGTCACTGGCACCTCCACACTCTCGTATGTCCGCGTCTTGGTTTCTGTCTCCGAGTAGTTGCTGCCACCCTTTGCTCGTTGCCGCACATCTGCCCTCCTCGCCAGCCTCTTCCAGATGTGCTAACTGACAGGCCCGAGCACTGAGAGCAGAACCCAGCGCTTGCCCTCTCTGAACCACACAGAGTGCGTGTGCCTGGGGCAGTCACAACTACAAGGAGGCTTCTCCCCGGCTGTGTTCTTCTGCTTGAAGAGGAGCAGCGCTACAGCCAGGCACACTGACAGCAGTGCGAGGGGATCTGGGGTGCCAGCGCGGGTGTCAGCGAGTCCGAGCCCCCCAGGCCTGCCTGCGACACCAGAGATGAATTGGGAGGTGGCGAGTTTGTTACGAACACCAGCGTCCTCCTTCAACTGTGCTTCTCCTGTGCCGCCGCTCTTTCCTCCACGCCACCCTGCATGAATAGAAAATTGGCAGTTACCCCAAAAGGCACCCGATGTGGGATGTGGAGCACTCTCATTATATCCTGTGGTTCAGTTCCCAGCTTACCCCGTACATACTCAGGCATTGGTTGCTGGTTCCCCTGCCAGCTCCTTCTTCAGAACAGCCTGTCCTCCTCCTGGGAATGAGGTGCGGGAGGACTGTTGTCCCAGGGCCGGCAGCTGGGACACAGAACTGAGCAGGGCTGGCATCTCCAGCATTGATGCCACCAGGTCTGGGCAACAGGTGTGCGCGGAAACTCAGGAAACGCACAAAAGCAGGGAGCAAGCAGATCCCGGGCAGTAACCCCAAGGCCCCTCTGCTCATGCATTCCTGCAGCAAAGACCAGTGGTGTGGATCTGTGATCCCAGAACTCTGGAAGGCTGAGGCAGGAAGATCAAATGTTTGAGACCCACCCGGGCAACCGAGCACTTGGCAAGACCCTGTCTCAAAAATTTTTGAAAGGGCTGGGAATGTACTCAGTGTGAAATCTCTGGGTTGAAAGCCCAGGCAGTTGTGAGTTCGATCCCTGGTACTGATAAAAACGAAAAAGACCAAAACAAAAAACAAAAAAACCCCAGTTGCTTTGAGTCTTGGATTTATTTCTTGGGGCTGGGGATTTAGCTCAGTGGCATAAGTGCCTGCCTTGCAAGCAGGCAGTCGTGAGTTCGATCCCTGGTACCGATAAAAATGAAAAAGACAAAAAAAAAAAAAAAAAAAAAGAAAAGAAAAGAAAAGAAATCCAATGCCCAAAGATAAATAAATAAATAAACAGCATGTGAAAAGAGCCAGACTTGTTGGATTTAAATCCTGGTTAACAGCTTATGCCTGTGAAAAGTCATTTAATTTCTGTGTGGCTCAAGTATCCCCATTTGTAGAGTGTAGATAATAACAGATGGAAGGATGGGTGGAGGAAAAGTTTCTGATATTCTTCAAATAGCACTTGCTGCAGACTAAACTTACAATCAACCTAAAGTGGTGGCAGTGGCGTTGGAATACAGGTGCACAGGTCCAGGGCCTTAGGACCCCTGCCGCACCTCCCCTGGAGGACCCACGGGTCTCTCCTAACTTCCCAGTCTAAAAAGGGGAGACAACAATAACTAGCCACGGGATGTTTGTAAGATTTCAACAAAAAAATATGTGCATCACTTAGCACATTGCAAACATTTTGTAAATAAGTGGTTGCTGTCATAGTAATGTTGGTGTTATTGTTACCAGATTTTTAAAAATGAACGAGAAGTTCCAGAGTTCCCAAAGCCTGTGCTATGTGGCCTTTTTTACTTTACAATACTCAAAATAATATCCAACAAAGACATTAGGTAAAGGCAGACTACTTGGGCTGCCTCCTCCCAGCTGGGCCAAGGGGACTGTCACACCTGTAAGCCATCTGAGCCCCAGTGACATGGGGCTGGGAGCAGGTACTCAGTCTGCAGCATGCAGAGTCATCTGAAGCCCTCCTCCTCAGAGTTCAGGGGGTCTGAAGGACTAAAAAATTCCTATTTCTAAAAAATCCCCGAATGATGCTAATGCTCA